GAAGACTAGAGTCGGTCCCGGCTAACTAACGTGTAAAAAACCCACGCTGAGGAGAGCCCTGCCTCGGCTGGTCTCAATCGGTCAGGAAAGGCCCAGCCCGATGGAGGCTCCCGCGAAATGAGTTCGGTCACGATCCGTTGAGAGGAAGCAGTTTTAATGGGTTTGGCGCTTCCCCTCAAGCTATCTATCCAGAAACCAGGCAGCGCCTGGATGGATGGCAGCCTCCGATAGTGGGGCGTTGGAGCCGCCAGCTGTAGCTGCAGAAATCCGGGCAGCCATTAGGTGGCGAAGAGAGTTTTCTTTCTGGGGAGCGAAGTCCCGCTCCGGAGCCTGTGTGAACTGTATTGAGGAGCCACCCGAAAGCGTAGCCATACTGGCAAGCGCTGAACAATTTGCCTAAATTGCGTACGGTGAATATTTGTCACATTCTCTGCCGTTGGACAGTGGCTGATAACCTTTCGTAACTTAATTTAGTTTTGAATGTGTTATTGTCAATTACTATAAAAAGTCACCCGCATTGTTTCTCTATAGTACTGTACATTTCAGCTTGCACTCTGTATGTAGTCTCTGTCATTTATTCCTAGCGTTTATTTTTCCCATGCCAATCAATTAGTCTTTTATCTCCAAAAATGTTACACACAGTATGTAAATACAATATTTTAAAATATCCACTGGTTATTTTGCAATTGATGAGCTTAGTTACTTATCTCTATCAAGTATCTGGAATTCGATCATTTTGAGTGAGTGGATGGAAAAGCAAACAAAGGGTTTCCTATTACTCAAAACTAGTGAATATTTCGTTATATTTGTTGTAGTAGACAAATGTAGTTAGTGTTAGTGCTGTAACAAAAATTTAGTTAGAATTTGCAATTTCTATTATTTTGGAGATGACAATTCTTGTGAATAATAAATATAAGAATTTTACAATAGTATGTTCTCATATTAGCTCTTTTTTTGACAGTAGAATATTTTAGACATGAGGGTTTATTGCATTTTGCTTTGCAGATAACTAGTTAATAATGAACAATTAAATAATTACAATGCATGAACAGAGAATATAAGGGTCCAGGATCGGTGCAACCTAATGTAACCCAAGAGTTGTGTGGGTGGTTAAATCACCACAGTTCCTGAAGGCGATTGTGATACTCCGGCAGCCCAGGTCAGTGACAGTGTCTTAGAAATAGAACATGGGTGGTGGAGGAAGTGTTCCTCGGACGCCTCTTCAATGCATGTTGAGAAATTTTAAGAAAGGTTTTAATGGAGACCCTAAGGCCAACCCAGGAGACTTAAAGAAATTCTGTGAAAATGGTGGCCCAAGAGGTTTGAGTCCACTATACCTGGCAGGAGTTTGAAATGCAGCAATTATGGGCGGAAGATAATCCTCCAGAACATGCAGGTCACCATACACCATTAGTCATTCAAGTAAAGTCTCTGGAAGAGAAATTATCCTCACTCCCATTGTACAAGCAATTCAAGACCATATTACCAAATATTTAACAGCAGGTAAAAAAAAAAAGGTAAAGCTTGTCTGAATGGGAGATCCAAGCTAGAAACCTGATTGAATGCAAACAATGTGAACAAAGGTGTCTATACACCTTGATCTTTAAAAAAATATGCCAGCGCTTGCTGGGAGATTAAAGATAGATATAGAAACGTTTGGATCTTTTAAAATATGCCAGCGGTTTGCTGGGAGGTCCAAACTAGAAAAGAGAAGACACTGAACACCCCAGAGCAGAGAGAGATATTAACAATCTAGTGCTTAAGGAGGACAGGAAAAAAGGAGTTGTAAGGTGTGTAGTCCTGGGTGGACAGAATACAACACTCTTAGGAAAACCCTGAGATATAGTCAGTTACCAGGATGGGTAACAAGCCTCCAGGAGGAAAGAAAAGAAAGAAAAAGAATAGGAGAGTCTCAACGGAACATTTAGTTCCTGTGTAGTTTTAACTTGCATGTTTGTCCTTGTTGATGTGTTTAAGTGTTTAAAAAGAAAAAAA